AACTGTCGTTAATCGCAGTTAAATATTTTGATATATTCATGCATTTAGTCCCTATTATTTGCATATTCTCTCAATTTAATCATAATTTTACTAAATTAAAATAAATTATATATTTTTAAATGAAAATGAAAATAAAATATTTTTAAATTAGGTTAATAGTAAAATATATTTAATAAGTTAACATGAAAATATATAAAATTATATTATATATAATTCAGGTCACGGGAATCCGGTTCATTTTTTTCTTTAAATTATATTATTTTTTAAAAATTTATATAAAAATTTCTTAAATTTAAAAGTGTATAATATATATAATCCACACGTAAACTTTAAAAAATTCAAATTACATAATTGAAATAAAATTTATTAAAATTAAAAATAAAGAAATATAATTAAATTTCAAATGTATTGAACTTAAAATAAATATTTTAAAAAACATTTAGAACGCTAATGTGAAATAATTTAAGAAATTAAGAATTTAGAACATTATGGTGTCAAAATTTAAGAAATCGGGATTTTAGAATGTTAGAGTGAAATAATTTGATGTTTATGAATAAAAATTTAATTAAAAATGAAAAATAAAAATATATATAATAAATCGGGTGTCGAGTCGGAGGGTACCCGGTTAACCAACATTTTGTGACCCATGCTCGACCCAAAAACCCGGTCGGGTACCCGACCTGAAAAATCGAGTATTTTTATTATAAATATCCGATATTTTTTAACTGGGTCAGCGGGTCAACGAGTCAAATCAATTGTATTGGGTATTTTTGAACAACCTTACTTGCATGAGATGTGACATCGTTCGATTGTAGGATTAAATTTATTTTAATTTATTAAAGGTATGACTAAACTGAGAGAATATGTAATAACATGACCAAATGTGTGATTATATCAAAAATATTTAACTACCATTAACATTAGTTAACTCGGGATGACCACATCTTAATTAAATAAAAATAAAAATAACTATATCTTAATTAAATAAAAACAAAATTGATTATATCTTATAAAATTTTTTAAATCAATAACTAAAATTAAATAAAACATAAAGATAAATTACCATACATGTAGTTAACCCGAAGAAACAATGAAAGTCGTCATAAATAGGGGTGTAAAAAGCTGACCCGATCTGTAAAACTGACTAAAATCGACTCGAGTTAAAATTATTTTTGACCTGTGCTGTGGCGATCCGAAACCGATTCGAGTCGGAACTGGTGTTGACCTGAACCCGAGTTGGACCAGGAAATTGTGGATATGAACCCGACCTGCATCCGACCTGAGAACGATATGAACCGGAATTGAACCGAAAAAATGATACCCGAACCCGAACTGCATCTGACTGATATGAACCCGAACATGAGATTGACCTGGTAAATAACTAGTATTACCCGACTTGTTTTCAACCTGACATGTGATGAACCTGACATGTTTTTAACCTGACCTGTAAATGATCTGACTTGTTAATGATCTGATATGATATTTACCAGACTTGATATTTACCTGACTTATATATTACCATGGACGAAATTATAAGATTTTAATAAAATTATGAGTTTTTTAGTTTAAGATGTAATTAAAAAATTAATATGATTACTTTTTAAATGTTATAATAAATATTTATTATGATAATTAAATTAATAAATAGACCTATTGTATAAAATTATTTAATAAAATTATTTAAATGTAAATTAGATAAAACATGATTAATTAGGTGTTAAATAATTAATATGTCACATTGCATATTATATGGTTCATAAATAGTAGTACATGTAATATTAATTTCATTTGCATAATTAGTATTTTAGTTGCATGTTAGGTTAATTCACATTAATAGTCCATTTATTTTTGTTGTTATGAATAAGTAATAATAAAACCAAAAAATAAGTCCATTTGCTTTAGTGCTAGTCCATTTATATTAGTTTACATAGGCCCAATACATAAACCCACTCTTTTATTACAAATATATATGCATTAGTGTTAGTCATTTACATTAGTGTTTGTGATTTAGGGTTTAATATTTAGGGTTTAGGGTTTAGGGTTTAGGATTTCTATAAACTATATAATATATTATTTTATATAGTTTATGCACAGTGTTTCTATAAACTATATAAGTAATTTACTTTATATAGTTTATATATATATATATATATATATATAGGTTATATATATATAGTTTATATATACTATACATGGTTTATACATACATATTATATAAAATTATTTAAATGTAAATTATATAAAACATGATTAATTAGGTGTTAAATAATTAGTATGTCACATTGCATATTATATGGTTCATAAATAGTAGTACATGTCATATTAATTTTATTTGCATAATTAGTATTTTAGTTGCATGTTAGGTTAATTCACATTAATAGCCCATTTATTTTATTGTTATGAATAAGTAATAATGAAACCCAAAAATAAGTCTATTTGCATTAGTGCTAGTCCATTTACATTAGTTTACATATGCTCAATACATAAACCCACTCTTTTATTACAAATATATATGCATTAGTGCTAGTTCATTTATATTAGGGTTTGTGGTTTAGGGTTTATGATTTAAAGTTTAGGGTTTAGGTTTTATGATTTAGGGGTTTTATAAACTATATATTTTATTACTTTATATAGTTTATGCATAGTGTTTCTATAAACTATATGAGTAATTTACTTTATATAGTTTATATATATATATATATATATATATATATATATATATATATATATATATATATATATATATATATATATACTATACATGGGTTATACATACATGTACTATAAGTTACATATATAATTCAGGGGTTAGGGTTAGGGGTTAAAGGTTGAAGTTTAGGGTTATCGATTTAGAATAATATATATATATATAATTAAACATAAGTCACTAAAATAAAAGATTCTAAAATTAACATTTAATAATTATGCACATTAAAGAAAGAAGGGAAAATTAAAAATAATTAGAATTATATACATGACTAAATCGCATTGTATTAAAAATTCAATAAATGATTTACAATTAAACTATGACTGAAATGAAAAAATAAAAAATCAAATAACAAAATAAAAAAGTTTTGATTGATGGAGGATTGAGGACCTAATTAACCCAGTCCATTTCATTGGGCACTAAACCTTCCCGCCATGCCCGAAAATTTCCCTTAAAGATTTCCAAATTATAAAATCAAATTGTCAAAATTTCCTCAAAAATTTTCACACCTCTAAATTTGCCAATTATAGGATCAAAATTTGTCAATTCCCACCTTTAAATTCCTACTACTCATGTGAATATTTTTTTTATTAAACTAATGTGAATATTTATATATATAATTATATCATTTATTTTAAATCGATACTTAAATTTTTTATAATTTATACATATATAGTTTTTATATATATATTAATATAAATTATAGTTTATAAACTATATAATTTTTATAGTTTATATATATATATAGTTTACATATATAGTTCATATAAACATAATTTACATATATAGCTTATAATAATTATATAGTTTATAATATAAATATTATATATATATATATATATTAGTTGTTTTAATTTTTTTCTCAACTTTTGAAATGAATGCAATTTTTTCATTTTATAATATTTTTCATATTTGATCCCTTCGTATTGTTTAATTTACTTAAATTTTTATTTGTAATTTCAAATTTGTTCAATTTAGTCCTCCAAATTTTATTTGCATCTAAAATTGACACATACTTATTACTTATTTCTTTTTTTTAATTGGTCCGTAACTTTTTAAATGAGTATAATTTAGTACTTTTTGTATTAATTTCAACCTCACAATTTAAAATTATTTCGATTTGATCCCTCATCAATATGTGTTGTTTAATTTATTTAAATTTTTATTTGTAATTTCATATTGTTCAATTTAGTCCCCCAAATTTATTTGCATCTGAAATTGATCCATACTTATTACTTATTTCTATTTTTAAATTGGCCCATAACTTTTTAAATGGGTATAATTTAGTACTTTTTGTATTAATTTCAACCTCACAATTTAAAATTATTTCGATTTGATCCCTCATCAATGTGTGTTGTTTAATTTATTTAAATTTTTATTTGTAATTTCATATTTATTCAATCTAGTCCTCCAAATTTTATTTGCATCTAAAATTGACCCATACTTATTACTTATTTCTATTTTTTAATTGGCCCATAACTTTTTAAATGGGTATAATTTAGTATTTTTTTGTATTAAGTTCAACTTCACAATTTAAAATTATTTTGATTTGATCCCTCATCAATGTGTATTGTTTAATTTATTTAAATTTTTATTTGTAATTCCATATTTGTTCAATTTAATTCTTAAATTTGTATTTTTCATAAAATTGAACCATGATTATTTATATTCTTAGTAATTTACTCTAAATCATATACAATTACAAATTGTAATTCAATGTTCGCGAAATACTAAAATAATTATTTCAAAAATAAAAATTAACCCGATTTGAACTCAATCCGTATCTGATAGAGATTCGAACTAAATTTTATCTGCCAATGATGTGACCCGATCTGAACGAGATCCGCTTGAAGTCCATCCAAACCTGAATTAACCTGCTTTTTAACTGCTCTGGACCTGAACTGGCATCGATCCAAACTGAAAGTAACCCGACCTAAACCCGAACTGTATCTGGTGTCAAATCAACCTGAAAATGACCCGACCTGATTTGACTTGGACCCGACCTGATTCGAGTCGAAGCATCAAATTTACCTAACTTGACATGTATCCGATTTTACCCGACCTGACATGATCTGACTGAAACCTGAACGATTACCCAATTTTACAACCCTAGTCATTAAAAATGTCTCAAAATAATACAACCCCATCATCAAATACTCATAGTAAAAATGCCCCTTCAAAGAGATTTCAACTTAATAATATCACTGCAAATGTAAATAAACAACTGAAACTGATGCCAACGGAGAAGAGAAGAGAAGAGTCATTTCGTTTAAAGCATCAGACTCAGAACAGCCTATCCCACCACCACCGCCGACCCTCCTACCCTACATGTTTTCTCTACTCCGCTCTATAATTCAATATTAAAAACAAATGATATTAGATAATGTATAACCAAGAAAGATATTCGATAAAACAAAATGATGTGTATATATACCACATCACTTCCAGCTGGGCCTGGTGAAGAAGCGCCCAGGCTAGGAGCAGGGGCCTCGGTTAATGGAGACGGTGGGCTCGAACCCATTGGTGATAGCGTCGGAGACTTGGCTTTCGGTTTGCTAGATGTCGGTGCTGGAACCGCTACTAGTGGAGAAGCCAATGGAGCAGGTGGCTGGGTAGCGGGAGGAGGAGTTACCGGTGGAGGGGTAGCCGGTGGAGTAGCTAGAGGAGGAGAAACAGGTGGTGGGGTTGCGGGAGGCGGAGAGCTAACGGGTAGGGGAGTTGCTGGAGGAGGAGAGCTAGGAGGTGGAGTTGAAACTGGGGGTGGAGAAGTTGTCACTGGAGGTGGCTGAGTGGTAGGCGGAGGTGTGGAAGCTGGAGGGGTGGGAGGCGCCGGCGTGGATGTAGGTGGAGCTTGTGTTAAAACGCTAGCTACAGCAATGCAAAACAAAGCTGATAGAAACAAAAATCTATGATCAAGAATCATGTTAGAACAATGGTGATATTTAATCCTGCGCACCCTATCTGCTTAAACTACGCCCAACACTTTAGAACCGAGGGATAGAGAGCCAGAGGGGAAGGAAGAGCATTACGAGGAAGGAATAGAAGGTGGTATATATTTATACACCATATATTATATGCAATTCTTTACCATCCTCCATTATTTAAAGAGAAAATAACTTCAGTGACCGAAAATTCCTTATAATATACGATTTTGACCAACTTTTTTTCGATTTGCCAAAATGGCCAACAAAATCGCAATGCGATCTCTAAATCGCAACGCGATCTCCAGTATCGCAAATCAGTTTCCAGATTCGCAATGCGATTTTAACTATCGCATTGCGATTTTCCAAATTCACGTTGCGATTTTAGAAAATCGCAATGCGAATATGTAAATCGCAACGCGATTCTGACTACCGTAACGCGATAATACATAATCGCAACGCGATTCTGACTATCGCAACACGATAATACATAATCGCAACGCGATAATACAGAATCGCAATGCGATTTTCAAAGCGCCATTAGTATCGCAAAGCATATTTTATTTTCAAATTCCAAACATGAATATTAATACATCCCGTAATCGCAACTCTTAACCTAAAACCTTAAATCACAACTCAGTCCCATCTCCATTCTCACTCTCTATGGAGACATCCGTCCCCATCTCCGACGAAATTCGTCTATCTCCATCTCTTAGAGCCACCCTCACAATCATTCACGATCAGAAATGGAAAATCAACCAAATCAACAACCGAGGGTTAGTTTTTTTAATTATTTTTATTTTGAATTTTTTGCATTATTATTAGGTTTTTCATATTGAAATTGATGATAAGTTTACTGGTAATTTCAATAATAGATTAACCATTTCACTTAGATTGCTTATTAAATTCATTCGATTGCTGCCAATACTGCTAAACTGTTTAGTCTTTAACCCTGTAAAGTTAGTATTTATATTTGTTTTGTCTTTTGGTTGAAGTAATGCAATTCATTCAAGTTTCAATTTTAGACAATGACTATTTGAAACCGAGGATCGCAACGCGAAATGAAAATCACAACGATAGTCAAATTTGCGTTGCGATAGTCATTTTCGTGTTGCGATTTTCATTTTCGTGTTGCGCTTTTAAGTTTCAGAAACTATTATTCTTCTGCAAATTGAAACTTGAATGAATTGCATTACTTCAACCAAAAAACAAAGACAAATACTAAATTCACAGTGTTGCAAATTTAAGTTTGAAGAATAAACTACTACTACTCTTTATGTTTATTATTGTTTTTGGTATATCTTCACAGTGTAGTTTTTAATCTAACTTGGTATGTTTATTGTTTTTGTAGAACTTTTTTTCGGCTCAATTGATCTTAAGGAATAAAATAAGCCTAGTCACTACAATTGCGTCGAAGCTTTCACATGTACAAAGAACATTGTTTGAGGATACTTGCTTCGGGCCATGGCTGAAAGTACAAAATCCGGGTGGAGATGCTATGTTGACCCATTTGTGGCTTCAGACCATAACTAGCGATCTACCTGAGAGTATAAAATGTGGTAATGAAGAGATATGGTTTCATTTTCCACCAGCGTATACGTGTTTTGGGCAGGAGGAGTTTTGCTTAATCACTGGTCTACGCTTCGAACATGATGATGTAGGTCGATACACTAGTCATATTACCCGCCCATCATGGTTATCCCGGGTTTTTCCTGAGCTGTCAATGGAGAAGCCGAATTTACACGTCGACGACTTGACAAGATTATTGAATAAGAAAGATGGTTTTACTCGGGTGGATGACGTCGATGTTGTTCGAGTATGCCTTTTAGTACTTTTGCATTCCAGCTTTTTAGGCAGAGAGACTAGACAACCTATTCTTAAGGACCTAATATTATTGGTAGATGACCTAAATGCATGGAACTTGTTTCCGTGGGGTTCGTATATATGGAAAGCTGCCTGGAATAAGTTATCGTCTGCCTTTGATGACCACAAAAGTTTGCGTGGCGATGGTTCCAAATACACTTTTTCAGGCTTTATTTGGGCCTTTAAGGTAAGAATTTCTATATAATGTTTCCAAAATTATAATTAATTATTTAACAATTACTAATATTTGTGTATTATATTGTTTTTGTAGATTTGGATATTTGAGGCTTTTCCCGACATGCAGACATATGCATTAAAAACTTCAAATGATATTCCTAGAGCTATTTCCTGGAAGAGGAAACGACGACTGTTGATTTGGGAAGAGTTACTACAGTATACGACAATAAATGATGTAAGTTAACACAAATACTACCATATATATAAACAAATTATTACTAGTACACATTTAACTTTGTTTGAGCTTTTATATTGTTAGGAGGCCAACACTCCATTACAGAGGCTGACACCCACGGAGGCTGAGCTTGCCACTGATTGGTGGCAAGTTAGTAAGCGTTTTTTTGATGGCACGGATGATGAGCACCCTCCACTTCGAGAGCCATCACCTCACCCAGAGCCATCACCTGATCGACCACACTATATACCTCTACAACGAGAGTCATCACTTATTCCGTCACATCATCGATCCTCTTCTCCACCATCACCTCATGATAGGCGACCGACAAAGATGCCATGACATTTATCTCCCTGTTCTCCACCTCCACGGGATGAGTTAGGGGAGTTACGTGATGAGGTCAATGCCTTGCGTGAGGAGGTCGGTACTTTACGCGATGACAATGGTGCATGGCATGACGAGGTATCTACTTTACGTGGTGAGGTAGCGGCTCTACGTGAGATGGTAGTATCGTTGCAGAATGAGGTTCATACTCTACGCAACGAGGTAAGTTTAAGATTTTTCATATTTAACTTGATTTACTCGTAATTTCACTTAGATTAACCATTTCACTTAGATTGCTTAGTAAATTCATTCGGTTGCTGCCAATACTGATAAACAGTTCTAAAATAACCCTGTGAAGTTAGTATTTGTCTTTGTTTTGTATTTTGGTTGAAGTAATGCAATCCATTCAAGTTTCAATTTGCAGAAGAAGAATAGTCGCAACACGAAACTTAAATCGCAACATGAAAATGACTATCGCAATGCGGAAATGACTATCGCAAAATTGTGACAAAAAGCCGGCAGTTGGGAAAACGATGCTTCTGGCGACCCCCTCAACAATTCCAAGGCATAACATTTGGCTCTCCAAGCTTGAGAATAAAAGATACTAATCTTGAACCGAGCATTCATGTCAGTCATAATTTCATGTCCTCGATATACCCTACCATTCAAAAACATTAACTCAGCCAGAAAACCACCCAACACCTTTTTGTTTGCCTGTCTATGGTGAGTAAAAACTTGGGTTTTTGAACATGTATGTTTATCAATAAAAGTCCTAACTTGAAAATTTTCGCAATCTTTTATCCTCTTTGCAATCATACGCCACATACAGTTTTTGTCAATCATACACCTTGTTTCGAAACGATCTTTGCTTGATTTGTTAACTTTTAGTTGATAGTCATCTTCCACACATTTCGTATACAAAGCTATCTTCAAGTATTCCTTTGTATCAAAACAATCATCTTTCTTGATACAAATAATTTTTGTGTAAAAATCAACTGCTATTTTTACCAACTCTTCTTCTGGTATCTGAAGTAATTCTGGCATATTCCAGTTATACTCCCATGGCATTTTCTTCGGGGACTTCTTTTTCGGGGATTTCTTCTTATTCTTTTTCTTCTTTAGGGTTATATGAATTACAGAATGGATGTTCAACATGTTCATTCATAGTCGTAACTTCCTCCTCATTATCATCAACAACATCTTCCTCGACAGCGGCTGTTTCATCATCAAAATTCGAGTATTGACCAATATCAAAATCATTACACGCAGGGTCTGTTTCTTCTTCTGAAACATCATCAAAATCTGAGTATTGACCAAGATCAAAGTCCGGATATTGACCAAGATCAAATTTCGAATACCGACTAGTACTCACAATTTTTTCTGTTAGCTCATCATCGTCTAACTGGTTAATACGAAAACCGGAATTTGGTGCTGAAAGTTGATTGGGATTTGGATTAGAGAAAGGTTGTGGGTTTTGAGATTGTGTTTGGTATTGGAAATGTGGTGAAACAAAATTTGCTTGGTGATGAAATTGTGGTGGAACCATTAAATTTTGAGCACCATAAACTGGGGTTGAAAAACTTAGTTGATTACTACTCGCTACTGACCCAACTACACTACTTCTAGGTTCAACAACATACAATGTAACATCATCTTGCGAAACACTAATGTAAGAAATGAATCGTTCAACATCTTCATTATCGGTTAACAAATAAACTTTACATTTTCTCTGATAAGATAGCCTAAATCCACTTAAGGGCTCTAAATTCAATTTATTTGCAACACGAAACATTTAGAGTTTCATAAGTTAACTTTTTTAATGACAATTTTAGTTGAAGATTCATGGGTAAAGGCATATATTGTAAAACACCATGAACATTCTCTCATGACCCTCCAAATCACAAATCTATTCAAACATGATCAACATTAGATGATTTCATTATTGTAAATTAATTTACTAAACAAACGAGCTGCGAAACTAAAACCTGTTGCCGGATGGGGAAGGATGTCGTTGGATATAGGAACGGATGTCGCCGGAGAGAGTGATAGATGGAGATGGAATGAGTTGCGATTTAGGAATTTAGGTTATGAGTTGCTTCTGCTGCGTAGTTATATACCCAAAACATTTGTGTTGCGAAACTAAAACCTGTTGCGAATTTGAAATTCAGTGTTGTGACAGTCAAAATCGCGTTGCGATTATGTATTATCGCGTTGCGATAGTCAGAATCGTGTTGCGATTTACATATTCGCATTGCGATTTTATAAAATCGCAACGCGAATTTGAAAAATCACAATGCGATAGTCAAAATCACGTTGCGAATCTGGAAACTGATTTGCGATACTGGAGATCGCGTTGCGATTTAGAGATCGCATTGCAATTTTGTTGGTCATTTTGGCAAATAGAAAAAAAGTTGGTCAAAATCGTATATTATAAGGAATTTTCGGTTATTGAGGTTATTTTCTCTTTTTTAAAACCCCAAATACTATT